TGTTGAATAGAAAGCCTTTTTCCTCATCAGTTAACAACACTAGTGATGTCAACATATTTTCAACACATATTCCGTACTCACAAACTGAGTGTATATTTTAATTGAAATGAGAAATTCCTTTCACTTTATTAAAAGTAAAGTTCATATGAAATAAATATTAATATAAGAAGAGATGAAAATGAAATATAGAAATAAATTTACATTAAAAACGATACGACAGTCAAAGGAGTGAGAACTCAATTATAGTTCCATAAGAAATGAATAAAAGAGAATTTAAGCCACATTTCCAACACTTCCCTTCTCTTTATTATTAATAGACATCATTTCGTCCGATTCTCTCTCTCTCTCTCTCTCTCTCTCTCTCTCTCTCTCTTCACAACATTTTCAAATTAGGGCAAAAGAAATGTTCGGCGCATAAGATATTGTGTGTTTGTGTGTGCAGTGAAGGGAAGACATTATGTTTTTGGTGGACAAATATTTTGACTTTCATACGGAAAAAATATTGCATTACAACATATAATGTAAATGCATTGCATTAGGGGCTTATTTATTGTATCACATAATGACAGACTCGGCAATGCAATCAATGATTATGGTTTTAGTATTAATATATATTATAAGCCATTTAGTATAGTTTAGTCGAGTTTTTGAGTGAACTCATTTTGTATGCATCAACTTTTGATATACTATTTGCAGCACAAATTATGGATACATTTTACTGCCCTATTATTGCCTAACATTAAGGTTTAGGCGTCACTCGCAAAAAGAGTATGCAATGCCATCAAATCAAACACAAAAACACAATAATATTGTAATCAATAATAATAATATTTAAAATATTTCTAATACCGCTTTCAATCAGTGGGAATTGTATGTCAATAAAAAAATATTAGTGACTATTATTGGTATTGTTTTATCCGAAAGAAAATATAATATATATAATACTGTTGTTACAGTTAATTGGGTAATGTTTTTATGGCAATTGATGGCCAGGAATGGCACGTATAAGATATCATAGCGTTTAGTGAAACAGAACATACAATATATAAGAGATAGCGAAACAAATAAGAATTTGTTGGACTAATAAATAAAATAAATATAAACAATAATACACTTTAAGCCCCAAAACGTCGATCCCTTTCCTTAACTCTAATTCGTATACCAGAAAAGATGGTTACAAATAATTCAGTCAGAAATTAATGGTTAAAAAGTATAATAGTTTAGGGTTTAGTGAATTGGAAGGGAAGGGAGAGAATTAAATTTGACGGCAAAAAAGTGTAATTTTTATAAAGTATTATTATTATTATCATAAGCTTAAAATATATTCCAAATTGAAAATTTTTGTTCATTATATCATAGTGAATTGGAAGGGAAGGGAGAGAATTAAATTTGACGGCAAAAAAGTGTAATTTTTATAAAGTATTATTATTATTATCATAAGCTTAAAATATATTCCAAATTGAAAATTTTTGTTCATTATATCCCAACTATATATTTATATATATTTCTATCGTATATTATATCCATCCCTAATACTATATGTGCCGGAGTTTATATACCAGAGCGCTGTGCATACATGAAAGTCCTTTACACAACATCTCACTGTACTGTACAGTTCTGTTCAGTATTTATTGATTTTAGCTTTTTTTAAAAACTCCATTTTTTTATTTATTGAATGGTTTGTTAATGTGATGGCAAACGAGTGTAAAGAACATTATTAACCAAATTTATCAAAAAGAACTCCATTTAAGACTATTTTTCTGAGAAGTTTGAGAGCTTCTAAAGAATTGTTTGTTACAGACATATAAGCAATCAATTGAGAAATGAAACCATTTGTGTGCGAGAGTCAAGTCGTGTCTCAAATTAAAAACAATATGTTAGTGAGAGAGGGGAAGAGAGAGAGAGAGAGAGAGAGAGAGAGATTATTTAACCCTCATATTTATGTGACCCAAAGGTGAGCCATACATAAAATTACAAAATAATAGATTATTGCTTATCAAATAAATATGAGAGAGAGAGAGAGAGAGAGAGAGAGAGAGAGAGAGAGAGATGTCATACATAATTATTTTAAATAACAGCACATTTATTATGTAAATAATATGCACTTATATTACATTTCTAAACAGATTAGACGTTAAGTCTATTAATGACATCCCATTGTTATCTAATCTAAACATATTTTTATTTTTCTTTGCATTTCCCTTAAGAACATTAATATTATTATTTTTTTGTGATATTATATAACTGTTATATAAATGAAATATTTCATTAACCATATGATTAGCATAACTGTGTTAATTCCTATCCCTGTCCATCATTTAAATGACATCGTTATATATTTTGATGGTTTGATATAACATATGTGTTAAAAATGCAATTTGTATGTCTGTCCCAAACGCTCATCCCTTTCATACAAATACCAGATTTAGTATATAATTACATTTAAATCACAAGAATTATTATATAATTTTAGGCTAAAATATAATTTAAACCATTTTTACCGAGAAATAAATTACTTATCAATCAAAATACAGACACTTATTATGAATGTTATACAATATACCAGGATTTTTATAAATGCTTTTGTTAAAAATGTTTTCATACTCATATATTAATTTAAACAATAATTAAAATGCAATCCGTTATGCATTATAATAAATATAAAAATGTGTTATACCATATAGTTTTTGTCCGGTGCTAATTTCCCGGCTAATTTAACGCTCATTTGATTTTAATTATACAGTACTGTATATAATATACACCGTATGTAATCAATCTATGTCTCTATCAATGTAAGTGATTTTTGAGAGAGAGAGAGAGGGAGAGAGAGAGAGAGAGAAAATCTAACTGATAATTAGTAGCTATTTTGAAAAATACAATTTTGTAGTGTTGGTGGTGTGTGTATGTGAGGAGCGCCTGTATATAATATACAGCACCGACTCATTCACTTAAGCTGGTTGTGACCGCACACACACTCACACTGGCGTATATTGCAAGGCATCGGCTATAATATGTTCAGTATATTTGGGAATTGGGAAATGAGAACAACTAATAAGTGAATTATTTACATCAACACTCAGATCATACAAATGCATACACCAGTTGTGGCCAAATAACGGCACAACACATTTCTCCCCATAAATATTATAACTAAACTCCAATTTACATCATATTTATTTGATAAGCAATAATCTATTATTTTGTAATTTTATGTATGGCTCACCTTTGGGTCACATAAATATGAGGGTTAAATAATCTCTCTCTCTCTCTCTCTCTCTCTCTCTTTCTCGTAATACACGAATAGATGTATTGAATGAAGCATTAAAGTGAATGATGTGTTTTTTCATTTTCTAAATCAAACAAAATATGAAATTAAAATTTTATACTATATTTATCATTGATGTTGTGTTGTTGTGTTGGTTTCGTATATTCATTACAACCTATAGTCACGATTAAGTTGTCTGACTGTCTGTTCATTCATTGACACAATAAAACTCATTCTTAAAAGAATCCAATTTTTCATTGTTAAGAAGTAATGCACCGAAAATATCGCCATTACTTTTGCAACAATTTTCTTATACATACAGTTATGGAGAGCTCTGGGAGATGGAAGAGACATATACTCTACTGCTGTATAGAATCGACACGAGAGAGAGAGAGAGAGAGAGAGAGTTTTACCCTTAACTTATATAACAGTTTCTGTTCTTTTACTAGTGATGCAGATGTCTGTCACATATCTCTTATTTTCTCTAATATTCAAGAGCTACTCAAAATATTTTTCCCATTGTATGCTAACTCAGTTCTGGGTTTATTTTAATTCTCTCTCTCTCTCTCTCTCTCTCTCTCTCTCGTAATACACAAATAAATGTATTGAATGAAGCATTAAAGTGAATGATGTGTTTTTTCATTTTCTAAATCAAACAAAATATGAAATTAAAATTTTATACTATATTTATCATTGATGTTATGTTGTTGTGTTGGTTTCGTATATTCATTACAACCTATAGTCACGATTAAGTTGTCTGACTGTCTGTTCATTCATTGACACAATAAAACTCATTCTTAAAAGAATCCAATTTTTCATTGTTAAAAAGTAATGCACCGAAAATATCGCCATTACTTTTGCAACAATTTTCTTATACATACAGTTATGGAGAGCTCTGGGAGATGGAAGAGACATATACTCTACTGCTGTATAGAATCGACACAAGAGAGAGAAATCACTAGTAAAAGAACAGAAACTGTTATATAAGTTAAGGGTAAAACTCTCTCTCTCTCTCTCTCTCTCTCTCTCCGTCACCCTTATATTCAAACTCTGTAAGTCATGTTTTTGTTATATTAATCGCAACTATCTTTCTTCAAACATACGCTTAAATTAATACTCAAATAAAATGCTTGGCATTCATATGAAATAGTTTTGTCAAAAGTCATTCATTAACTGTTTGTTTCCGATTAAGAATTCTCTGTTTATATTACAAAAGTTTTTTTGTATAAATATTTAATATTTGTTTAGATATTCCTATTGTTTGTCAACTCAGGCCCTAAATAATAATAACAAATAATTTGTTTAACAATAAAAAGAGATATGAGTTCTGTATAGTAAACTTTTCTCTGACTTTTGAATTGATTTTTATAAACATTTTTATGCAAAAATAAATTCTATAAATACAACCAACATAAAAAATTGTATAAATATTATAACACAGATGATACATTAAAAAATATCTCCTTGTAAACAAGTTTTCGCAATGAAATGCAAATGTTTCAAAATATTCTGTTGTCATTAAATCAAAGGATATGTCAAACTCCTATCATAGAAATGGCAGTTCATTAGTTGCCATAAATAAAATCATTTGTGAACGCAATTAATTTCTGAGGTCTAAACCCAATGCAAGTCATGAGTTACTCATTATATAAAATGTTGTGAGCATTGATTTTATTCCTCGTTTTCGTGGCATTTGACCAATCCTTAGAGTCCCCGATATTATTGTGCGAGAAAATTAGTTTCCAGTCAACGCTAGCATTACATTCTCCACATCGATGTATATTTCAAAATACTATTTTAATTAATAATATAGTAAACGAAAGAGGGAAGGAGAGAGAGAGAGAGAGAGAAAGAGAGAGAGAGAGAGAGAGAGAGAGAGCTCTAGTTTTATTTTATATAATATGGATTTGAATTTGTTTAGGCAAAACAGAGTTGCGTTCAGACTCTGTGTTGTGTTTGAATAATTCATTATATATGGAGAACAAGTAAATTTTTTTAAGACGACTACTGTTAGAGAATTTTGTTATTTTATAAAAGAATTTCTGCATATATTTGAAAAGATGGACAAACTATACGATACACACAAACGCACACAAGTCTTATGCAAAGAATGCATGGATTTTCTCGAGAAAACAAACATCTTTTAGAATATATTCTAGTTTTTAGATTATTCTGTTTTCCAATGGACTTAGAATTTAAGAAAATATAATATTTTATTATATATTTAATGCATTCCACATATTAAGAATAGTTCACAATTGAAATAGTTTATATAATTATTTATAATGTATATAATATTTATTTAAAAATATAATTTCCCTGTTTTCGTGTATAAAAATTATTTTAGACAATTCTCAAAAACAATAAATGTAATGAAAATCGACATAAATTGTAAATAACTTTTACATAAATAGAATATATACTATAAAATTATATTATACTGTAGTATCATAAACATTGATTAATATTTATAAGTTTTATACATATAAAAGAAAGAAAGAAAGAAAGAAAGAAAGAGAGAGAGAGAGAGAGAGAGAGAGAAAATAAAGTAAAAATATTTGCAAAACTTCAAACTTTTACACGAGAATTCTGTCAACAATTTTAATAAAAAATTGACTAAAATTTTGCTATAAAAAAGGATTTCATGTTTTATTGTCAAAAAGTATGTTAAATAAAAATTGATTTCTTGTGATTTCGATTCAAAGACAAAGATTTATATCTTAAGCTAAACGACTTAAAGTGAAAGAATTACCAAAAAGAAAAGACATAGAATTAGTCGTGAAAAAGTTGTGAGACATGAGACAGTAAAGAGAGAGAGAGAGAGAGAGAGAGAGAGAGAGAGAGGCTGCAAGTAGAGCATAGTATAGATTATACACTATTGGCAATAACTAGAGTTATATTGTGTGAGTCTATGAGTATATATTCAACGGATTTATGGAAGAATGAGAATGTGTTTGGAGAGAGAAATGTCTTTGTCTTTTGAGTCTTCAGTACTTTATAGACAAGACTTTGATGAGAATTATTGGCGATCGCGGGCTAAACACGCACTGCAACTGCAGTTAATCGATGGGCTCTGATATACAGGCGCTCATCACATACTAATGTTAATACAATATAAACTTCTCTCTCCTATCACTCTATCACTCGATTAGTTTTATCGAAAAGAAAAATCAGTTCACTTTACCTCTACTTGTGTTCACTAATGTATTGTGTTCTCTATGCCATCAAAATAATTGTTTCTTTATTTTCTTATAAGCGCTCAAACAGTCATTCGCTGTTTTCCTGCCGATCGCTATCCCTATCCCCAAAAATATTATTTATTCTCTCGATATTTGGTGTACTTCTGGTTGACATTTAACCAAAAATGGGTTAAACCATCGCTTCCTGTATTAATAAATAATAACAAAAATACATTAAGTATTAAATTGTATTTAATTTTTATGGCAACTTATCATTAGATGAGAAAACGAAAAAAGTTTTTCACCAAAAAACGTAAGGAATATAAAATTTTATGCAAAAACTTGTCTTCGCTTTAAAGAAATGAATAAATAGATTGAGAAATTGCAAGAAATTGCAAGATTGGCATATTTTGGTGTCAACATTGACTCCGATAAGCAAAGAGCACTTTCTAACGTTTATAAACATTAGTTTAAGTGTATAATATGTCTCTCTTTTATAGGCAAATATAGCGCTCACTTGCAATGTATGAGAAGATGACACGAACACCCATTACATACACTTTGCTAATACTCTCTCTTCATCTCTCTCACTGACTAAATATGAATAAAGCGAGCGAGCGAGAGAGAGAGAGAGAGAAAGAGAGAGAGAGGGTATTGAATAAAAACATAACTCTTACCATGTAGTTATTTGCTGTTTAACGGCAATAATGTGATCATTTGGCAAAATACAGTAAATGTTGAATCAATGGATGAATTGCCAGAACATTCATGTCGTTCGGGAATCTTATCGCCAAAGGATTGTCGCCATTGGAAATGTATTGGATTTGTTTGACTTATGAGGACTTCAACAAAATATAAACACTTTTGAAACAATAAGTCACCAGTTTTTTCATGAACCAAATCAATGGATGCTCTTCTTCGATGTGTACATCAAATGATGAAACCATTCAAAGACATTACAACGAAATGTGCTATGAAAATGGGAAAGAGATAAATAAATATTAAAATCACTGAATTTAAATCTATCTAAATTATAAATAGATTAATATTTTAATCAATATATAATTCGCTCAAAACTAAATAAAACTTTTTTAAAAAGTATAAAAAAGATTGAAAGAGAGATCTAAAGGAAAAACAATAGATGCGAAGAGAGACTAACTGTGCTGTGGATGTGATGTCTGTGCGGCAGTAGTGATGGTATGAATGAAAGCAAAAGCAGAGTCACCTCTGGTATAAATTGGGATCTGAAGCCAGAACTGGAAGATTCCATATCGACCGCCGAAGGTATACCATTCGTGACATCATCTCTGCATTGCATTGCAAACACACCAAACACTACATATGCTGTATATTCTCTATATATTCTGTGCCCTAACACTAACACTGTTATGGCTTTATATACAGAGTCTGTATATTGGATTCGCAGTCGTATACATACTGTACATGTGATACACAGACCCATAAGGGAGAGAGAGAGAGAGAGAGAGAGAGAGAGAGAGCTCTAGTTTTATTTTATATAATATGGATTTGAATTTGTTTAGGCAAAACNAGAGAGAGAGAGAGAGAGAGAGAGAGAGAGAGAGAAGTACAGTATAAGTAATACATGCATCGAAAGAGAATTGTTTTTGCTAATCCTTGACTGAACTCTAATAGAAAGCATTGCATAAAATTTGAATTGTGACAGAAGTGAGACACGACTTGTATTGGTGTATGAATTGTAGGAATAGTAAGGGATCGTAAGGAATAGGATATGCAATATTAGGAACTGGTTCTCAATTAATGACATGCATGACCACATATTATGGCCATCTCTCACGCATTGCTGTATTGGGTGGCCATACAGTCTTACATACAGTACAGTATAAGTTATACACAGCTATAGGAGTAGTAAAGTGTGGGCAATAGTTGTGAGTATTATATATATATTTGGCGACTAATAATCTAACAAAACCTGAAGAGATAGTCAAATAAGTGGAGGCATATAAGCGAATAATAATGATAACAAGCGCTGGTATTGACAGACAACAGATGCAATGGCAAGACTTGTTGGCACACAATGCTGTATAACGTGTATATATGGGCATCGATAGTGTATTTGTGCGCTTATTAAACATATTTGTATTGTTCTGACAATTTCTGTCATTTTCTTAATAATAAAGCGGTTCACTATTAGGCGATTATTCAATCGTCAGATTCAGGCATCGACTACACGTTAATTTAAATGCATTTTATTATTGCTATTTAATATACAGTTATGTAGTCTATAGAGAGTCACTATTTATAACATGTATGCAGTCGTCCACACAATTGATTACTCTATGGTTATAGAGAGCATCGGATTATGCGCTCACAGACCGCTCCAGTCAATCGATTCGGGGATAATTAGACAAATAAAATCGTCACTACTTTCGCATTAAGAAATAAACCACTCGTATATATACTATACACATATTATACACACTATACTACATACCCAGTAAACCCTTTTCCCCATCCTCTCTCCTATCTCTCTCTCTCTCTCTCTCTCTCTCTCTCTCTCTCTTAATCGGAAACAAACAGTTAATGAATGACTTTTGACAAAACTATTTCATATGAATGCCAAGCATTTTATTTGAGTATTAATTTAAGCGTATGTTTGAAGATGTAAAAGTTTGAAGTTTTGCAAATATTTTTACTTTATTTTCTCTCTCTCTCTCTCTCTCTCTCTCTCTCGCTCTTTCGTTGACTCTCTCCTATTCACTGTTAATAGTAATACAACTTTATATCAGATTGAAGCCGAAAATTTATTTCGTAAAATATCTTCTCAGACAAACACTTTGTTTTATGGGACAGAAAATTCATTACTAAAATCACTGGAATTCATTTTATTGTCCGATTTTTGTCAAAAAATAAGTTGTGAACAAAATTGAGTTGAAGAGTGAATTAAATATTTCTCATCAAACAGTTTGATATGAGAGACCAACTCTACAATGCAGTCATAAATGTCTTACAAGAGCTCAACATCTCTGTCACATCAGTTTATGCCTCTCTCTCTCTCTCTCTCTCTCTCTCTCTCTCTCTCTCTCGGGTTTAGGTTATATTACATTTAGCGTTTCGATGGCAACCAAATGACGTAAAATTGATGTAAAAGTGGATTTAGTGATGAAAAGGAAAAAGAAAAACATTTCCAATGCAAAGAAAAAGTCATTCAAACAACAATATTAGAGTTCCTCTTCTTATTTATATAGAAATTTACATTTTCTGACGAAGTTTTCATAAATATTGGCATTTATATAAAAATGGATTACAAATATATAGAGAATAAAACCAAATTTAATACTTTTATGTCTCTTATAGACTATACGAGACGTTTTGCCAGCAAAAGGAAAGTATGAAATAATCGATTACTTGCAATATTAAGTCTCAAAACCATATATTATTGTTTTATTTTGAGTAACATTTCCGTTCTTTAAGCAATTTATCTTTTAATTGATTGCTAAGTATTTTTCTACAGGAAAAAGCATTTATATGGTTCTTGTCTACAAACAAACAAATAAATAAATATTATGTTTAATTTCTTTAATGAATATTTATTAGACTTTGAAACTAGAGTTTATAAGCAAATCGATTTCATGTGTTTTTGTTTGTCGAAAACAATTTAATTCAAATTTATTTTATTTTATTTTTGTATAACTTATAAATATGTAAAGTTTGCTAATTATAAAATCGCTTGATCGTCTAATTTGCTTATTGGTAATAATGTTATATATTCCTATCAATAATTAATTATTTCAAAAAAAGATTAATAGCTATCAATAATAAAAGACAATTTATGCCGTAATTAAATAAAACAGTATTTGTTTCGTACATTAGTTATTACTAGTAATGGATGATAATTTTTTCAGACAAATGGTAAAACACGACATTACCATAGTTTGTATAGTAAATATCATGTATAAAAACCATTTAAATGGTAATTTTATAATTTAATTCATCAATATTCTAATAATACTATCTATAAGTTTTTATAATATTTAATTACTATATTAGTTATTTACAAAAAACAAATATGTAAAGTATAAATTAAGTATATATTATTTGTCATTAATAAATCTATTTTTTGCCATTACTTCAATAGTCTGTCTATTAATAATGTAAGAGAAGTTATTCATGTGCTTTCTCTCAATTATTATTAACAATAAAAATAAATACTAAAATCAATAATACAATAGTTGTCTTAAATATTATCATTAACTAAAGAATTATTGACAATCAAATCAATTCCCATTTCTTCAGTAATATAATTAATGTTAATTTTAATAACACAAAAATCTTTATATGAAATTACCTGCTAATACAATGAGTAGTGTTAATAAATCTTAACATAATATTTTCTATAATATGCACATTAAAGTAATTATTGTAAGACATTATAATGAGCTAATTTAAGAGATGTATGTAAAGCGTAAATGTTTTTTATGGTTATTAATATTAACCGAGATATTTCATATTTAATGGTTTGGAAATAAAAGAGAGTAATAGAGACTGATTAGACACTTTGATTAGTCTTATTAATGGACGACAATTGTTAAGTGAAATAAATATGAGAGCGAAAGACAAATGAAGGAATAATAGGCTATAAAAAGCGGAGCAAAACAAATATTGAATCGAGTTTTGTATTAAATGCAACGAAAATAATATGAAGAATAGTGTAGTGAATGCCAGCGATTGAAATAAATATAAAATTAGATTTATTTGAACTCATTTTGGAATTCAATTCAAAGGATAATTTGAGAGTTGTATCGCTTTTATGTAAATTAATTCTAGTGTTCAGAATAGAGAGAGAGAGAGAGAGAGAGAGAGAAATAAAAATCATTGAATAAAAGAGGAAAAATGCAATCTTTGAATACAAAGACCTGATAATGAGAACATACAAAGTGCTCAATGCATGGCTTTTAAGATTTTAGTAAATTGTGAGCTAATGTTTGGATCTCCTCTCTATCCCAACAAAAAAGAAGACGACTTTTGACTCCGACTCTCGGCTCCGGAGTTAAAAATTTGAGAATTGAAAACATTTAAAATTTGTTTGCCATAACAAAAATGCATGAATGTTACCAAGATTTGCATACACTATTATTTGCAATGTATTCATCACAGAATTTGCATAAAAATCACCATCACTTGAATGTTAAGGCTATAGTGAGACACATAGACATAAAAACTCCCTTAAAATAGTCCCTCAACACAACAGTCGCTCAATTGAATTCAATTCAATTAAAGTCTATTACGAGTATTCAGTATTAAAGTATCACTTAATGAAAACTATAAGGGCTTTAAGGGAACAATCGTACGATTCTTACAGTTATATAAACACATGCCATACGAATGATTGGCACTAATTTTCTTCTCTCTATTTATAGATATTTATATAATATCTAACAACACTTTTCCAACGGTTGGCCCATCTTTTGGTTGCATTCACATTAGTGAAGAAGCATTGGCTCCAAGTGTGTGGCCATCATATCACTCACTCACTGTATAATATCTTCAAATCGGATCAGTTGTACAATTTGTATAGAAATCTTTTGTCTTAAGTGACATCCAATGATATATTCAGTCAATTAAACATTAATTCCAGTTTTGTTCACAAAGAAGAGTTGATTTCCTTATAAGAAATCCCCAAAATTGATGGCAATTCTAAATAGAAATGGATGTGGGGTTTACTCAACAAAATACAATTGAGTTTCTGTGTTAGCAACCCCTCACAAAGTTACACAATTGCAAAATTTTACCCAAAAAATCAAATAAAACATTCATATGAAAGTAACAGATAATTATTGAAAAGTTTAATGTTGCCAATTGACCATCTTTTTAGCTCAAAGCTGACTTATTTGTTTAGTAATTTTCCGATAGATAATTAATATTACACTTACAACTTAAATGTTAGAATTGTATATGTAATCAAAATTTAAGCAATCTTGGTCTTTATTAACTTTACTATTAATTGGTAACATTTAATTTAAAATTCATTCAATTTATTAAAGATAACACTAGAATTAGCATTTATAAAGATGTTTTAACAATTTTGCACAAATATTGTTAAAACAGTTTTTTTATTAAATAAAAATATAATAATTCTTTCATACCGTAATGTATTTCTACAATTTTCAGTTTATATTGTATTACTTTCTTTCAACTATTGTTTCAATTGATTGCCAAAGAAAACCAATTTTTAATAAAATTGAAAGAAGGATAAGGAATGAGAGTTGAAATCTTAATATAAAATAGCAATGGTTTGTGTGTTTTGATAAGAAAATAATCAAAAGTGAAAAGTGTTTTCCCAAATGAGAGTTTTGGCAAAATAATTGCTTTGCTTTAGGTTTAGGTTTAGGTTTAGGTTTGTCTTTATATATATTTATTGAACTTTTATGAAAAGGATAGAAAGATAGGACACAGCGTGTGAGCTAAACAATTGTGTGATATAAACACTGGTTGGCAAAAGTGCTGCAATGGTTTGCACTCTTCTCTCGTTTCATATATACATTAC